TATAAGAGGCCTGCGGGGCTTCTGGTGCTTAGGCAGGACCAGTGCCAGAACGAATCAGTTGGAAGGTTATATTATTTTAAAAATTCATGGGACCTCCTATGTCTGCACGTGCTGCACACATAAAAAAAGATATATATAGAACAGCTGGGCCTCAACAGACCCCCCCCTTCAAGCTAATTCCATACTATTTTTGTCCAGACAGCATCAGATACATGGGCTACACATACTGAGACAGAGGGGCGCTGTTTTGCTCGCTTGGATGATTTATGTGAGATTGATGGGTCTTTCGGTCAAATCAATTATCAATATTTAAATATTTGGACGGGCAAGGAGGTACGATAGGGCGGGCCAGGCCCCCTAAGCCCCACTCATAACGCCGGCCCTGGGCTTAGGCAGAGCTCTTCCACCACAATATACTGTACTTTACTATTAAACAGTGATTACACTGATTTGTCATTTCTCACCCACAGATGTTGATGAGTGTCAGGTCTACAATGGGGGCTGCCAGCACCGATGCGTCAACACCAGGGGCTCGTACTACTGCGAATGCAACCTGGGCACCCGTCTGCATACAGATGGCCGAACTTGCATCGGTAAGATCCGAGGGGAGGGTGTGGAGGGGTCACCTATGGTCATGGACGGTTCACATAAGGTCAACTGAAGTCAGGGGTGAAGGGGTCAGGGTTGAGGGAGGTTTGGGCTGAAACAGGTGGATCTGGTCCAACGTACTGGATGTATTCAGTTGTTGCCCTCACCGTCTGGAAGCTAGGCTATGGGAGAAGCTGGGTCTCACATCACAGCAGGGAAAGAGTGGTCTCCACCTTCTGCTTGTGTCAAAAGGAGGAATCAAAGAGTCTGTTGTGCTGGCAGCAGACAAGCTTTCCCACTGTTTCTCTCTCTCTCTCACATACAGTGGGGAAAAAAAGTATTTAGTCAGCCACCAATTGTGCAAGTTCTCCCACTTAAAAAGATGAGAGAGGCCTGTAATTTTCATCATAGGTACACGTCAACTATGACAGACAAAATGAGAAAAAAAAATCCAGAAAATCACATTGTAGGATTTTTAATGAATTTATTGGCATATGATGGTGGAAAATAAGTATTTGGTCAATAACAAAAGTTTCTCAATACTTTGTTATATACCCTTTGTTGGCAATGACACAGGTCAAACGTTTTCTGTAAGTCTTCACAAGGTTTTCACACACTGTTGCTGGTATTTTGGCCCATTCCTCCATGCAGATCTCCTCTAGAGCAGTGATGTTTTGGGGCTGTCGCTGGGCAACACAGACTTTCAACTCCCTCCAAAGATTTTCTATGGGGTTGAGATCTGGAGACTGGCTAGGCCACTCCAGGACCTTGAAATGCTTCTTACGAAGCCACTCCTTCATTGCCCGGGCGGTGTGTTTGGGATCATTGTCATGCTGAAAGACCCAGCCACGTTTCATCTTCAATGCCCTTGCTGATGGAAGGAGGGTTTCACTCAAAATCTCACGATACATGGCCCCATTCATTCTTTCCTTTACACGGATCAGTCGTCCTGCTCCCTTTGCAGAAAAACAGCCCCAAAGCATGATGTTTCCAACCCCATGCTTCACAGTAGGTATGGTGTTCTTTGGATGCAACTCAGCATTCTTTGTCCTCCAAACATGACGAGTTGAGTTTTTACCAAAAAGTTATATTTTGGTTTCTTCTGACCATATGACATTCTCCCAATCCTCTTCTGGATCATCCAAATGCACTTCAGACGGGCCTGGACATGTACTGGCTTAAGCAGGGGGACACGTCTCGCACTGCAGGATTTGAGTCCCTGGCGGCGTAGTGTGTTACTGATGGTAGGCTTTGTTACTTTGGTCCCAGCTCTCTGCAGGTCATTCACTAGGTCCCCCCGTGTGGTTCTGGGATTTTTGCTCACCGTTCTTGTGATCATTTTGACCCTACGGGGTGAGATCTTGCGTGGAGCCCCAGATCGAGGGAGATTATCAGTGGTCTTGTATGTCTTCCATTTCCTAATAATTGCTCCCACAGTTGATTTCTTCAAACCAAGCTGCTTACCTATTGCAGATTCAGTCTTCCCAGCCTGGTGCAGGTCTACAATTTTGTTTTTGGTGTCCTTTGACAGCTCTTTGGTCTTGGCCATTGTGAAGTTTGGAGTGTGACTGTTTGAGGTTGTGGACAGGTGTATTTTATACTGATAACAAGTTCAAACAGGTGTCATTAATACAGGTAACGAGTGGAGGACAGAGGAGCCTCTGAAAGAAGAAGTTACAGGTCTGTGAGAGCCAGAAATCTTGCTTGTTTGTAGGTGACCAAATACTTATTTTCCACCATAATTTGCAAATAAATTCATTAAAAATCCTACAATGGGATTTTCTGGATTTTTTTTCCTCAATTTGTCTGTCATAGTTGACGTGTACCTATGATGAAAATTACAGGCCTCTCTCATCTTTTTAAGTGGGAGAACTTGCACAATTGGTGGCTGACTAAATACTTTTTTTCCCCACTGTACGTGTGCACGCGCACGCACACTCTCTCGCTCTCATATAGATCTCCTCTCTTTTCCTCTGTGAGTTCCAGTGCTGTATCAGAAAGCTTATTTTCATTCATGGCTATGGCACACGACAACAGCGTGTCAGGATAACTCTCTCTCTGATTGATTAGGGCGTTACCGCACAGCGGGCACAGATGTAAATTCAACGTCCATTCCACATTGGTTCAACGTAATTTAATTGAAATGACGTGGAAACAACGTTGATTCAACCAGTGTGTGCTCAGTGGGTGGGAAGCCCTGAGGCCTGTTGAAACACAATTGACTTTGACCAGAGCCGGTCTGGATGAAATGTTAGTGTGCCTGTTATTTTTCAATGAGTTATTACCACAGAGATGGGAATCCATTCATATTGTTGACGTTTTTATACTCCAAATGTGCGCCAAATTACACTACCTCAGTTGGTGAATATAATTCCGCAGAGTGATGATTTAGAGTGCAGGTGGCCAACCCCTTTTCCTGGAGAGCTACTGGGTGTGCAGGCTTTTGTTCCAGCCCGGCACTAACATACCTGGTTCAAGGTCCTGCAGCTATTTAGTAGAATCAGGTGTGTTACTGTTAAAGCTGGGCTGGAACAAAATGTACACCCCTTGTAGCTCTCCAGGGTTGGCCACCCCCAATGCTGTCCTCTTAGCTCAACTACAAAGACTTTCAACCACATTGCTTTTCCTTTTCACCATTGAAGCGGCAGACCATGTGCTTCGACACACGCACTAATCTTAGATTCACTTTAGTCTTATGCACAGCAACTGTGTGCAGTCCAAAAGCGCGGAATCAATCAAGTTATTTATTTCGATTTTAATCAGGCTGCTTTGATGGCACGGAAACCTCTGATGGCATGATGTGTCAAACAAACCGTCTCATCCTTATCACGCTGTTTTTCACCAGGCCTAGTTTTCCTCCTTTAAATGAAAGGCAGCTGACGAACTCAAGGATGCTCCAAACAGTAGAAAAACATAAGACATCCTTAATAAACTGTGTGATATGGCTTACTGAAAAAGATATGACTGACAACTCCCTTAGTGTGATCCTACTTCAAAAAAATGTAAATGAAAGACTCACTCTTGATAATGCTCAATTTCCTTTCAATTAAATTCTCTCTTTCCCTGAAAGAAATGTAAGTAGTCTCAACTATGTAAGTAGTCTCAACTGTCCCCTAGCATCCCCAGATGAACCAAGCCAGCCAGAGAAGCATGTCTCTCTCCCCCTTCACACCAGAGTGCTCTGGAGTACCACTCTAGGTACTTTAGTAGATCTGACAGGACTGGATAGGTGTAAGCAATATTGCAAGTTCCACCTAGAGGGCAAGGTTAAGCAACTACCATCTTGCTAATATCTATCCATTCCTGTCAGATATACATAAGGTTCCAATGGCCTAGGGGTTAGTGGCAGGGGTTGTTTCTGTACAAGGTCGACTGCAAAGAGCCACGTAAGTACCCCCTGCTGTCCGCACGCTTATTGGCTCGCTAATGGAGCAGCAAAAAATGCATTCTCTCCGGCATTTCTCTCCATGTTATTATTGGGCTTTTGTTCCGAGATAGCAATCGAAGGGAAAACAGATTGGAGCAGAGAGGGGACAGTGTCTGCGATCATCACATTACAAGTGTGGAGTGGAGATGGGGTTCATATGTGTTTTGGTTTTGAAACTGGGACTCCCTTTTCTGAGTTCATCCAAATGAAAATGGAGCAGCTACTTCTCATAAAGCGATACAGTTCACCTTGGGTTAGCATAAATCAAATGTTTGAAATGATCTTGTGGTGTCTTGCTCTTTGTGAGAAAACATATAGACAAACACTTGCTCCTGCTGTCAGAGAAAGTAGACCTACTGTAATGTTCATACCAATTACTAGTCGTTGTTAGGGCCAGGAGTTTATCCTGCTCTCATGAAAAACTCTGGGCCTGTGTCAATGTAAATAATCTGAACCAAAAACAATAGTGGTCAAAATGTCTTTCTGCATTAGACTTTGAGAGCACATGATAATCAATCAACTACAGTGCTATGAAAAAGTATATGCCCCCTTTCTAATTTTCTCTACTTTTACATATTTGTGATACTGAATGTTATCAGATCTTCAACCAAAACCTAATATTAGATAAAGGCATTACTGGACCATGTCGTCCAAAAAGTTATACTTTTGAATCATCTGTCCATAGAATGTTCTTCCAAGAGTCTTGATGATCATCCAGGTGCTTTTTGGCAAACTTGAGTCAACTTTTTGGACGAGATGGGTCCCATTATGCCTGGCGAAAACCAAACACTGCATTCCACAGTAAGAACATCATACCAAAGGTCAAGCATGGTGGTGGTGATGTGATGGTTTGGGGATGCTTTGCTGCCTCAGGACCTGGACGACTTGCCTTAATAGAAGGAACCATGAATTCTGCTCTGCTATACATCACCTTGTTGATCTAATTGTTGATCTATTGTCTCTCTCTGTGTGTTTGTCTCCAGCCGTCCGCTCCTGTGCCGTCAGCAATGGAAGCTGTGAGCAGGACTGCGTGCAGCTGTCCCCTGCTCACTACCAGTGTCGCTGCAGACCCAACTATCAGCTTGCAGAGGACGGCAAACACTGCAAGTGTAAGTGCCGCTAGACGGCCATAAAAACAACACTCCTCCATACAGACCTTCTCCAGATCCTTCAGTTTTCGGGGCTGTCACTGGGCAATACGGACTTTCAGCTCCCTCCAAAGATTTTCTATTGGGTTCAGGTCTGGAGACTGGCTAGGCCACTCCAGGACCTTGAGATGCTTCTTACGGAGCCATTCCTTAGTTGCCCTGGCTGTGTGTTTCGGGTCGTTGTCATGCTGGAAGACCCAGCCACGACCCATCATCAATGCTCTTACTGAGGGAAGGAGGTTGTTGGCCAAGATCTCGCGATACATGGCCCCATCCATCCTCCCCTCAATACGGTGCAGTCGTCCTGTCCCCTTTGCAGAAAAGCATCCCCAAAGAATTATGTTTCCACCTCCATGCTTCACGGTTGGGATGGTTTCCTTGGGGTTGTACTCATCCTTCTTCTTCCTCCAAACACGGCGAGTGGAGTTTAGACCAAAAAGCTCTATTTTTGTCTCATCAGACCACATTACCTTCTCCCATTCCTCCTCTGGATCATCCAGATGGTCATTGGCAAACTTTAGACGGGCCTGGACATGCGCTGACTTGAGCAGGGGGACCAGGATTTTAATCCATGACGGCGTAGTGTGTTACTAATGGTTTTCTTTGAGACTGTGGTCCCAGCTCTCTTCAGGTCATTGACCAGGTCCTGCCGTGTAGTTCTGGGATGATCCCTCACCTTCCTCATGATCATTGATGCCCCACGAGGTGAGATCTTGCATGGAGCCCCAGACCGAGTGTGATTGACCGTCATCTTGAACTTCTTCCATTTTCTAATAATTGCGCCAACAGTTGTTGCCTTCTCACCAAGCTGCCTGCCTATTGTCCTGTAGCCCATCCCAGCCTTGTGCAGGTCTATAATTTTATCCCTGATGTCCTTACACAGCTCTCTGGTCTTGGCCATTGTGGAGAGGTTGGAGTCTGTTTGATTGAGTGTGTGGACAGGTGTCTTTTATACAGGTAACGAGTTCAAACAGGTGCAGTTAATACAGGTAATGAGTGGAGAACAGGAGGGCTTCTTAAAGAAAAACTAACAGGCTGTGAGAGCCGGAATTCTTACTGGTTGGTAGGTGATCAAATACTTATGTCATGCAATAAAATGCAAATTAAAATTATTTAAAAATCATACAATGTGATTTTCGGGATTTTTGTTTTAGATTCCGTCTCTCACAGTTGAAGTGTACCTATGATAAAATACAAATTACAGACCTCTACATGCTTTGTAAGTAGGAAAACCTGCAAAATCGGCAGTGTATCAAATAATTGTTCTCCCCACTGTATATGTTCTGTGGTTGACTGATAGCAATGATCCACCATGATGTGTCGTATTACACTAGTGTTATCGTAAATTATGTAATCAATGTTACTGCACTGTTGTGCCTAAACATTATAGTGGATGTGGGTGTGCACGCAATTTCTCAGTCCATCCTTGGGCTTAAATCTCCATGCAGCACAAACTTTTTTGTCTTTGTTTGCCATGTCGGGGGTGAGGTGAAATAACAAAATGCTGACTGTGCTGGCTGTGTTGGCTTTGTTGACTGTGCCGACTGTGTTGACTGTGTTTGGCTTTTCGGATTGTGCTTCGACAGCTCACTTCCTGTCTGTTTGTCTGTCTGTCTGTCCTGTCGTGGGGCTGAATAAACCTGATGCAATTACATGACTATAACTCCATCCTGGTGTTTTCCTTACTCCACATTATTTTCTCAAACAAGGCTCACGAAAACCGTGGACAAACACTGCATACTCATAAAAGTAGCACTTTAAACAAACTCAAATGCACATGTGGCCATTGTGGTTTCCCATGCCCATTTGGTATGACCCCATATAGGGGTTTGGCAGCCATGGCCCGGGATGAATTTGAAACGTACTTAAAGGCTGGAGACTGCACCGATTCTGTCCAACGATACTGTACTTACAGTGGGGGAAAAAAGTATTTAGTCAGCCACCAATTGTGCAAGTTCTCCCACTTAAAAAGATGAGAGAGGCCTGTAATTTTCATCATATGTACACGTCAACTATGACAGACAAAATGAGAATTTTTTTTCTAGAAAATCACATTGTAGGATTTTTAATGAATTTATTTGCAAATTATGGTGGAAAATAAGTATCTGGTCAATAACAAAAGTTTCTCAATACTTTGTTATATACCCTTTGTTGGCAATGACACAGGTCAAACGTTTTCTGTAAGTCTTCACAAGGTTTTCACACACTGTTGCTGGTATTTTGGCCCATTCCTCCATGCAGATCTCTAGAGCAGTGATGTTTTGGGGCTGTCGCTGGGCAACACAGACTTTCAACTCCTTCCAAAGATTTTCTATGGGGTTGAGATCTGGAGACTGGCTAGGCCACTCCAGGACCTTGAAATGCTTCTTACGAAGCCACTCCTTCGTTGCCCGGGCAGTGTGTTTGGGATCATTGTCATGCTGAAAGACCCAGCCACGTTTTATCTTCAATGCCCTTGCTGATGGAAGGAGGTTTTCACTCAAAATCTCACGATACATGGCCCCATTCATTCTTTCCTTTACACGGATCAGTCGTCCTGGTCCCTTTGCAGAAAAACAGCCCCAAAGCATGATGTTTCCACCCCCATGCTTCACAGTAGGTATGGTGTTCTTTGGATGCAACTCAGCATTCTTTGTCCTCCAAACACGACGAGTTGAGTTTTTACCAAAAAGTTCTATTTTGGTTTCATCTGACCATATGACATTCTCCCAATCCTCTTCTGGATCATCCAAATGCACTCTAGCAAACTTCAGACGGGCCTGGACATGTACTGGCTTAAGCAGGGGGACACGTCTCGCACTGCAGGATTTGAGTCCCTGGCGGCGTAGTGTGTTACTGATGGTAGGCTTTGTTACTTTGATCCCAGCTCTCTGCAGGTCATTCACTAGGTCCCCCCGTGTGGTTCTGGGATTTTTGCTCACCGTTCTTGTGATCATTTTGACCCCACGGGGTGAGATCTTGCGTGGAGCCCCAGATCGAGGGAGATTATCAGTGGTCTTGTATGTCTTCCATTTCCTAATAATTGCTCCCACAGTTGATTTCTTCAATCCAAACTGCTTACCTATTGCAGATTCAGTCTTCCCAGACTGGTGCAGGTCTACAATTTTGTTTCTGGTGTCCTTTGACAGCTCTTTGGTCTTGGCCATAGTGGAGTTTGGAGTGTGACTGTTTGAGGTTGTGGACAGGTGTCTTTTATACTGATAACAATTTCAAACAGGTGCCATTAATACAGGTAACGAGTGGAGGACAGAGGAGCCTCTTAAAGAAGAAGTTACAGGTCTGTGAGAGCCAGAAATCTTGCTTGTTTGTAGGTGACCAAATACTTATTTTCCACCATAATTTGCAAATAAATTCATTAAAAATCCTACAATGTGATTGTCTGGATTTTTTTTCCTCAATTTGTCTGTCATAGTTGACGTGTACCTATACTAGCTTGTGTTAATGACTACTAGGCCAAACTGTAGCACCCAGATTTCCTCCTTCTACAGATATAATAGATAGAGGATACAGCTGTGCTGGAGTGGTTGGCTTCAGATATCGTGCCTGGCAGTCGTCAGTCCTTACCCAAAGTCCATTGGCAGCGCAGATCCTTTGACTTCAGATGGTTCTTATTGTGGTCGACACGTAGATCTCAGATATATCATGTCGTATTTTATATATCAAGACATATGGACATATTTAATATTCTTGGAATTTCACATTTTCACATCAAAAGAAAAAAGGCACTTGGAGAGATGTCGATGCTATTTTAGATCCAATAGGATTGAAGTTATATTTAAATGGTTTTGATACCAGACATGCATTAGGCCAATTTTAGCACTGAATGGGGGAAAAATACAATTATATAAATGTATTAGGATGTAATACAGAGATTGCAGCTGTTTTGGAGTGTGCACTGTAGTACCTCTAGATGTTAAATTACTGTGCACTTTGCCAGGCTTTGAAATTTCTCGTCTTGTATCCGACTCCAAGGTCTGAAAGAGAGACCAGTTCGAGCAGGCCGTCATCGCCTTGGCGACCTCTGACCAATGGTCTGTCTGGCCAGCAGAATGACTGGTAAATCCAATTGACATGAGGCTTACCAGAGGTCCGCTGTTACCATGGTTACTGAACCACGATCCAAAAGCGAAATATAGGAACGCATGAAATAGTTATCCACCTAGTGTGGATTTCAAACAAACCCGCATTGTGAAAAAGTAACATTGTTACTGCTGTATCCATTCTATCTTTGGGCAGATGTGGACATCTCGTACCTTTACTGATTTTCTGTCCCTTTACAATGTTTCCTGCTTAGCTAGATGTGCACTGTCTAACATCGTCTTCCATACATCAACAACTAGCTACCAGAAAATTAAAAAAATTAAAATCCCTAATTTCTAGTAAGTGGAGCTCCTTGGAAATTCACCTCTCAGGGGTGCAGACATGGAAGTAATTATGGCCCTTTCTGCACAGAGAAAGTAATCACACCCCCATTTAACCCCATTACCCTCTTACTCCCTCAAATCCACAGGGGAGAAGGGCTAGCAAGAGCATATGAAGTGTGTGTGTGTGTTTCTGTCTGTCTGTGTGTGTGTGTGTGTTTGTGTGTGTATATGTGTGTGTGTGTGTGTGTGTGTGTGTGTGTGTGTGTGTGTGTGTGTGTGTGTGTGTGTGTTATGCATATGTCCCTGTCAGTCAGAGAGAGAGAAGGGCTGACGAACATATTATGAAGTGTGTGTGTGTTTCTGTCTGTTTGTGTGTGTGTGTGTGTACTCATCCCATGTAACTGTATTTCAGTAAGAAGCCCCTGTGCAGACAGAAATGGGGGCTGTATGCACACCTGCAAGAATGACGGATGGAGAGCTCAGTGCAACTGTCTTCCTGGATACACACTGGCACAGGATGGCAAAAACTGTGAAGGTAAATATCCATAATTTACTAAATTAATTTGATTGGTTATGGATTATGGTGATGGTGGTGGTGATGATGATTTTGATGATAATGTTAAAAAGCAAGTAGTTGAAAGTTGTGTGTGTCCCCCAGACATCGATGAGTGTGAGACAGGCCAAGCTGCTTGTGCCCATGGTTGCCATAACACCCAGGGCTCCTTCACCTGTGTCTGTAACCCAGCATACGAGCTGGGTGCCGACGGCAGGAAATGCTATCGTGAGTCAACTCCCATTCTCTCTGTCAACTAAAATGTTCTCTCAGTCAACTTCCATTCACTCTGTCAACTCTCATTCACTCAGTCAACTGCCATTCACTCTCAGTCAACTCCCATTCACCCTCAGTCAACTCACATTCTCTCTCAGTCAACTCACATTCTCTCTGTCAACTCACATTCACTCTGCCAACTCTTATTCACTCTCAGTCAACTCCCAATCTCTCCCAGTCAACTCTCATGCAGGTTTGAAGGTCTGCGCAGATCACCAGAACTTCACAATGCAACGATAATCCTATATTCTTGGCATTTGGCCATATTTCTCTCTCTTAAGGAATCGAGATGGAGATTGTGAATGGTTGTGAGACTGCCAACGGAGGCTGTTCCCAAAAGTGCCAACAGTCCACCCTCGGACCTGTCTGCAGCTGTCACCATGGTTACCACCTGGACGACGACCTCAGGACATGTGTGGGTGAGCAAAAAGCAGTTTGATCGATATGGAGTGATTTTATTTGCCAATAATTTAGAATTTTACATTAATTCAAAATTATTTAATTCAATTCAAAAATTGACACTAAAATCTCTACATAGACAGACTTGTCAACAACGGCTGTGTATGTTTCAGACTTGGACGAGTGTGAGGCGGGAAGCTCATGCTGCGAGCAGGACTGTACCAACTATCCCGGGGGTTACGAATGCTACTGCGGGGCTGGCTACCGTCTCAATTCGGATGGGTGTGGCTGTGATGGTACGGTCTATTAAGCAACATAATCTCCTTGATCAAACATGATCTATAAATCTATCTACACAGTGTTATGACTTACTGCTTACAGACATCAACAACAGAATATAAATCCATCAAGATTGTCATAGTTAGCTCTTCCCAATATACTGTACTGTATACCACAAGGGGGCAAATTGGATGGAGGCAATAACCGCAGTCTTGGCAGATTTTTGTTCCGTTGTTGATGTTTGTAAGCAGGAAGACACCCCGCAGTGTATGATGATGTCATGTCATGATGTTGCTGAACCTATGGTGCTCTTTAATGCCCTTTTCTTTGCTGTTTTAATAAGGGTGCTTGCTTCAACTTAAACTGTTCATTTGCCCCTAACAATTTAAACCTCTGACACTACCATTAAATATATTTTAGACTGCTGAAGCAAGCACACACATTTTCGTCAGGAAATCAAAATGTTCTGGTTGTTGATGTTGCAGATGTGGATGAGTGTCTGGTAGACAATGGAGGCTGTGACCATACCTGCCAGAACACAGCCGGCTCCTTCCAGTGCTATTGTCGCCTAGGACACCGGCTAGACGAGGACCGTCTCTCTTGTATTCGTAAGTGGATCAGATATGAATCCTGTCTTGGTGGTACTCAGGTAGAAATAACACATTGGGCCAGGAGTCTTTCCTGACCTGACTGTAACCTGACTGGGAAAAAATCTGGGCCTTAGTGGTAGGCTATAACTGGCAGTACAAGTTAAAGGCTCTAACTAGGGCCCAGAGTTTACAATTAACAAATTGCTTTATGTTAAGTGGCATGCTAAACTGGATATTAGAATGGAGAGAAAGTGTGCAAAGAGAATGACAATGACTGTTGTACACTCTCCCTTCAGCCCTGGAGGGGGCAGTAGAGGCGTTGGAGTGGAGCAGTCGCATCGCGGTAGAGCGCCCTCTACCCCAGATCACCCTGCTGAGGGACTACTTCCAGCAGCTGGAGCGTTATGACGACTACGAGGAGGACAGCCTGGGAGAGCTGCGGGCCCAGAGCACCCTCACCCAGACCTTTGGTATACATACAGTTGAAGTCGGAAGTTTACATACACTTAGGTTGGAGTCATTCAAACTCGTTTTTCAACCACTCCACAACTTTTTGATTAACAAACTATAGTTTTGGCAAGTCGGTTAGGACATCTACTTTGTGCATGATACAAGTAATTTTTCCAACAATTATTTACAGACAGATTATTTCACTTATAATTCACTGTATCACAATTCCAGTGGGTCAGAAGTTTACATTCACTAAGTTTACTGTGCCTTTAAACAGCTTGGAAAATTCCAGAAAATGATGTCATGGCTTTAGAAGCTTCTGATAGGTTAATTTCCAAACGCCTGAAGGTACAACGTTCATCTGTACAAACATTAGTACGAAAGTATAAACACCATGGGACCATGCAGCCGTCATACCGCTCAGGAAGGAGACGCGTTCTGTCTCCTAGAGATGAACGTACAGTTGAAGTCAGAAGTTTACATACACCAGGTTTGTAGGCCTCCTTGCTCGCACACGCTTTTTCAGGGCTTTGTGATGGCCACTCCAATACCTTGACTTTGTTGTCCTTAAGCCATTTTGCCACAACTTTGGAAGTATGCTTGGGGTCATTGTCCATTTGGAAGACCCATTTGCGACCAAGCTTTAACTTCCTGACTGATGTCTTGAGATGTTGCTTCAATATATCCACATCATTTTCCTTCCTCATGATGCCATCTATTTTGTGAAGTGCACCAGTCCCTTCTGCAGCAAAGCACCCCCACAGCATGATGCTGCCACCCCCATGCTTCACGGTTGGGATGGTGTTCTTCGGCTTGCAAGCAACCCCCTTTTTCCTCCAAACATAACGATGGTCATTATGGCCAAACAGTTCTATTTTTGTTTCATCAGACCAGAGGACATTTCTCCAAAAAGTACGATCTTTGTCCCCATGTGCAGTTGCAAACCGTAGTCTGGCTTTTCTATGGTGGTTTTGAAGCAGTGACTTCTTCCTTGCTGAGCGGCCTTTCAGGTTATGTCAATATAGGACTCGTTTTACTGTGGATATAGATACTTTGTACCTGTTTCCTCCAGCATCTTCACAAGGTCCTTTGCTGTTGTTCTGGGATTGATTTGCACTTTTCGCACCAAAGTACGTTAATCTCTAGGAGACAGAACTGAGCGGTATGACGGCTGCGTGGTCCCATTGTGTTTATACTTGCGTACTATTGTTTGTACAGATGAACGTGTTACCTTCAGGCGTTTGGAGGTCTACCATTTTTTTTCTGAGGTCTTGGCTGATTTCTTTTGATTTTCCCATGATGTCAAGCAAAGAGGCACTGAGTTTGAAGATAGGCCTTGAAATACATCCACAGGTACACCTCCAATTGACTCAAATGATGTCAGTTACCCTATCAGAAGCTTCTAAAGCCATGACATCATTTTCTGGAATTTTCCAAGCTGTTTAAAGGCACAGTCAACTTTGTGTATGTAACTTCTGACCCACTGGAATTGTGATACAGTGAATTTAAAGTGAAATAATCTGTCTGTAAACAATTGTTGGAAAAATGATTTATGTCATGCACATAGTAGATGTCCTAACCGACTTGCCAAAACTATAGTTTGTTAACAAGAAATTTGTGGAGTGGTTGAAAAAACGAGTTTTAATGACTCCAACCTAAGTGTATGTAAACTTCCGACTTCAACTGTACTTTGGTGCGAAAAGTACAAATCAATCCCAGAACAACAGCAAAAAAGGACCTTGTGAAGATGCTGAAGGAAACAGGTACGAAAGTATCTATATCCACAGTAAAACAGCAAGGAAGAAGCCACCGCTCCAAAACCACCATAAAAAAGCCAGACTATGGTTTGCAACTGCACATGGGGACAAAGATCATACTTTTTGGAGAAATGTCCTCTGGTCTGATGAAACAGAAATAGAACTGTTTGGCCATAATGACCATCGTTATGTTTGGAGGAAAAAGGGGGTTGCTTGCAAGCCGAAGAACACCATCCCAACCGTGAAGCATGGGGGTGGCAGCATCATGCTGTGGGGGTGCTTTGCTGCAGGAGGGACTGGTGCACTTCACAAAATAGATGGTATCATGAGGAAGGAAAATGATGTGGATATATTGAAGCAACATCTCAAGACATCAGTCAGGAAGTTAAAGGTTGGTCGCAAATGGGTCTTCCAAATGGGCAATGACCCCAAGCATATTTCCAAAGTTGTGGCAAAAATGGCTTAAGGAGAACAAATTCAAGGTATTGGAGTGGCCATCACAAAGCCCTGACCTCAATCCTATAGAAAATGTGTGGGCAGAACTGAAAAATTGTGTGCGAGCAAGGAGGCCTACAAACCTGACTCAGTTACACCAGCTCTGTCAGGAGGAATGGACCAAAATTCACCCAACTTATTGTGAGAAGCTTGTGGAAGGCAACCCGAATCGTTTGACCCAAGTTAAACAATTTAAAGGCAATGCTACCAAATACTAATTGAGTGTATGTAAACTTCTGACCCACTGGGAATGTGATGAAAGAAATAAAAGCTTAAATAAATCATTCTCTCTACTATTATTCTGACATTTCACATTCTTAAAATAAAGTGGTGATCCTAACTGACCTAAGACAGGGAATTTTTACTAGGATTAAATGTCAGGAATTGTGAAAAACTGAGTTTAAATGTATTTGTCTAAGGTTTATGTAAACTTCTGACTTCAACTGTATTTGTTTAACTACTTTTTCCTATTCCTTCTTCTGCTCTTCCTCCACCTCCCCAGTGTGTCTTAACAACACGTTTGGCCACGACTGCAGCCTGACGTGTGACGACTGTTCCAACGGTGGTGTGTGTGACATGGAGGAGGGCCACTGTGACTGTCCTGATGGGTGGACAGGCGTTGTCTGCAACCAGAGTGAGTGTAGCCACGCAGAGAAAACAAAACATCAAAGCATCAACAGGGTTTTAACCCTCAGTCACAGGTGTTACTGATCACCTGAGGATTTATTCACTAGGAACTAAACGAAAGCAAACCAATTTAAAAAAAAAAATCCATTGCAAAACGTTTTGCTACAGTTTGCTATGGTGTGCACTAATGAATACACCCCTGATTTGCTACTAGTCATCTAAGTTCTAACCCAGTGTTTCTCTATCCATTGCTGGGTGAAGCTATAAAAGTGGCCTACCTTGTGTTTAAATGGAATTTCACATTCTGTTAGACACAATCATTACATTTTACATTTTAGTAATTTAGCAGACACTCTTATCCAGAGCGACTTACAGTTAGTGAGTGCATACATTTTTCATACTGGCCCCCGTGGGAAACGAACCCACAACCCTGGCGTTGCAAGCGCCATGCTCTACCAACTGAGCTACACGGGGCCAATCATCATACAGAAAATTCCTTATTTGGTGACGTATCTACCGTATATAGCTTTGTTGAGAGAGTTAACGCCATACCTCTGTTTCTGCTTCTCTCACCTCTCTCGCTCTCACTCTCCTTCCCTTTGCCCAGCTTGTCCAAAGGGCACCTTTGGCAGGAACTGCTCCTTCAGCTGTAAGTGTAAGAATGGTGCCACCTGTGACCCTGTGAGTGGGCACTGCCGCTGCCCACCTGGCGTCAGCGGGGACATGTGCCAGGATGGTGAGTTGGCACAGATTCATGCAGCACTGGATCAAAATAGCATTGTTTTCTCTCAAAAAGGTACAATTGATTTAGCTTACAATTGAACCAATGGAATTGTCCTAAAAGTGCAAATCCTAATATTGGTGCACCTTATAATATGTTGTACTTTCTACTCTTGCCTCTGTGTATCTGTGCTCTGTAGGCTGTCCTAAAGGCTTGTATGGGAAACTGTGCAATAAGAAGTGTAACTGTGCCAATAACGGGCGCTGCCATCGCACCTATGGAGCCTGCCTGTGTGATCCCGGGCTCTACGGGCGCTTCTGTCATCTAAGTGAGTGGCATGATGTCTCGTTGCCTCTCTACCTCGGTCTCTTTCACTCTATTTCCTTTATGTCATTCTTTCACTCCCTGTAGCCATTTTCTCCAATTGCCATGCCAAGTGATTACCTCAGGAAGGACTCATTCCTAGTACATCTGGATCTTACTGTGATCTGGGGCTGTCCAGCGAGTAGGATTGCTGATCTAGGATCAGGTCCCCTCTGTCCATGTAATCTTATTCAATGTGATCTAAAAGGCAAAACTGATCCAAAATCAGAACACCAACTCTAAGATGCTTTATTTGATTTGCTTTATTATGATCCCCATTATCCGACGCCAATGGCGACAGCTAGTCTTACTGGGGTCCGACACATAACGGAAAAGACATTACAGACAAAATACTTTACAATTTACATACATTTAAAAACATTAACATGTAGTGTGTATGTGCATCTATCAGTTACACATACATGTCAGTACATACACACAACAAGTAGGTCACATGGGGGAGAGGCGTTGTGTCGTTTGCTGTTCACTTGTGCTATATGAGACGGAATGGAGTTCTATGCACTCATTAATCTGCATAATACTGTTAATTTCCTTGAATTTGTTCTGGACCTGTGAAAAGACCCCTGGTGGCATGTCTGGTGGGGTAAGTGTGTGTGTTAGTGCTGTGTGTAAGTTGACTATGCAAACAATTTGGAATTTCCAACACATTAATGTTTCTTATAAAAACAAGAAGTGATTGTCAGTCTTTCCTCAACTCTTAGTCAAGAGAGACTGGCATGCATAGTATTCATATTAGCATTCTGATTACAATGAAGAGCAAGACGTGATTATATTGTCAATATGACTGAACCATAATCAAGATAAGATACATTTATGAATATGGGCCCTGGACCTCTCTTCCCCTGCACTACCATGTACACAGTCGGGCAGTATTAATGTGTACCCTATTAGGCCTGCAGTCCTGTTTAACCCTTGGTGTGCCATCTCTCCCCAGTGTGTCCTAAGTGGGCGTATGGCCCTGGCTGCTCGGAGGAGTGCCAGTGTGTCCAACAGAACACCCTAGAGTGCCACCGCCGCCATGGCTCCTGTGTCTGCAAACCAGGCTACCATGGCAAGAACTGCCAGGAGGGTCAGTGGTCCAGAAAGATGTTCCGCACACACACAAGCGTACACATACACAAGCATACACACGCATGCACATGCACACATACACGTATGTGCACGCACACACATAAACATACACATGCATGCACATATACATATACTTGGCAATGACACAGGTCAAACGTTTTCTGTATGTCTTCACAAGGTTTTCACACACTGTTGCTGGTATTTTGGCCCATTCCTCCATGCAGATCTCCTCTAGAGCAGTAATGTTTTGGGGCTGTCGCTGGGCAACACGGACTTTCAACTCCCTCCAAAGATTTTCTATGGGGTTGAGATCTGGAGACTGGCTAGGCCACTCCAGGACCTTGAAATGCTTCTTACGAAGCCACTCCTTCGTTGCCCGGGCGGTGTGTTTGGGATCATTGTCATGCTGAAAGACCCAGCCACGTTTCATCTTCAATGCCCTTGCTGATGGAAGGAGGTTTTCACTCAAAATCTCACGATACATGGCCCCATTCATTCTTTCCTTTACACGGATCAGTCGTCCTGGTCCCTTTGCAGAAAAACAGCCCCAAAGCATGATGTTTCCACCCCCATGCTTCACAGTAGGTATGGTGTTCTTTGGATGCAACTCAGCATTCTTTGTCCTCCAAACACGACGAGTTGAGTTTTTACCCAAAAGTTATATTTTGGTTTCATCTGACCATATGACATTCTCCCAATCCTCTTCTGGATCATCCAAATGCACTCTAGCAAACTTCAGACGGGCCTGGACATGTACTGGCTTAAGCAGGGGGACACGTCTGGCACTGCAGGATTTGAGTCCCTGGCGGCGTAGTGTGTTACTGATGGTAGGCTTTGTTACTTTGGTCCCAGCTCTCTGCAGGTCATTCACTAGGTCCCCCCGTGTGGTTCTGGGATTTTTGCTCACCGTTCTTGTGATCATTTTGACCCCACGGGGTGAGATCTTGCGTGGAGCCCCAGATCGAGGGAGATTATCAGTGGTCTTGTATGTCTTCCATTTCCTAATAATTGCTCCCACAGTTGATTTCTTCAAACCAAGCTGCTTACCTATTGCAGATTCAGTCTTCCCAGCCTGGTGCAGGTCTACAATTTTGTTTCTGGTGTCCTTTGACAGCTCTTTGGTCTTGGCCATAGTGGAGTTTGGAGTGTGACTGTTTGAGGTTGTGGACAGGTGTCTTTTATACTGATAACAAGTTCAAACAGGTGCCATTAATACAGGTAACGAGTGGAGGACAGAGGAGCCTCTTAAAGAAGAAGTTACAGGTCTGTGAGAGCCAGAAATCTTGCTTGTTTGTAGGTGACCAAATACTTATTTTCCACCATAATTTGCAAATAAATTCATTAAAAATCCTACAATGTGATTTTCTGGATTTTTTTCCCTCAATTTGTCTGTCATAGTTGACGTGTAGCTATGATGAAAATTACAGGCCTCTCTCATCTTTTTAAGTGGGAGAACTTGCACAATTGGTGGCTGACTAAATACTTTTTTCCCCCACTGTATGTGCATGCACACACGCACGCACACACACACAGACACACAAACAAACTAAACACACACGTCAAGGAATGGTTCTATCTGGTTTGATCTGGGTCCAGGAATCTGGCCCTAAATGTGTAACCAGTACCTTTAACCCACTTTTGCTCATCTCCTCTAGAGTGTAATAGAGGATACTATGGCCTGGCCTGCAAGAGTACATGTCAGTGTCCATCAGGGGTACCCTGTGATCATGTAACAGGGGAGTGTCTGCGCCAGTGCCCGCCTGGCTTCCATGGGGACAACTGTGACCTAGGTGGGTACAGTGCATGGCATGGCATGCCAACCCAGACCAATGCAGAATAGTACTTTATTGTCCATTTATTGGGAACAGAAATGTGTATTTCTTGTTTCTTCTAACTCCATCAGGCGAGACAACACAAAATGCTCGCAGACATGCACACACACACACACACACACACGCACAGTATATGGCATCTAAGTCTATTGCACTCATTCTCTGTCAATAATCAAGAGACGGATGGGGTGTCTCCAACTCTGGTCCTGGAGAGCTACTGGCCTGGGTGTGCAGGGTTTGGTTCTAACCCAATTCCCAGACACCTGCTTCACCTACGGCCCTATAAAATCTGTGTTGTGGACAGAATCACGGAATCCAGACATTAAAACTGAATTCAACAATATTCAAACATGTATTCAAATCATCTAGTAGAAAATCAACTAAATGTATTGAACTTATTAGAAAATGCATTAATTGCCCAAGTTAATCATAAGACATGAACAAAATCCATCAGTGATTGTATTTTCCTGCAACTTTCTGAAATGGCACAGGAATGCCCTTGTCTGTGTGTGTGTGTGTGTTTGTGCGGTGCGCATATGTGTAGCCGTTAGCGGTGACGCTAATCAAATCAAGTTTACCAGATGTGATTGCGGGTGTTTCCTGAAGTCCACGATCATCTCCTTTGTTTTGTTGACGTTGAGTGAGAGGTTATATTCCTGGCACCACACTCCCAGAGCCCTCACCTCCTCCCTGTAGGCTGTCTCATCATTGTTGGTAATCAAGCCTACTACTGTTGTGTCATCTGCAAACTTGATGATTGAGTTGGAGGCGTGCTTGGCCACGCAGTCATGGGTGCACAGGGAGTACAGGAGTGGGCTGAGCAAGCACCCTTGTGGGGCCCCAGTGTTCAGGATGAGCGAAGTGGAGGTGTTGTTTCCTATCTTCACCACCTAGGGGCGGCCCGTCAGGAAGTCCAGGACCCAGTTGCACAGGGTGGAGTTCAGACCCACGGCCTCAAGCTTAATGATGAGCTTGGAGGGTACTATGGTTTTGAATGCTGAGCTACAGTCAATGAAAAGCATTCTTACATAGGTATTCCTCTTGTCCAGATGGGATAGGGCAGTGTGCAGTGTGATGGCGATTGCATCGTCTGTGGTTCTATTGGGGCGGTAAGCAAACTGAAGTGGGTGTAGGGTGTCAGGTAAGGTAGAGGTGGTATGATCCTTGACTTGTCTCTCAAAGCACTTCATGATGACAGAGGTGAGTGCTACGGGGCGATAGTCGTTTAGTTCAGTTACCTTTGCTTTCTTGGGTACAGGAATAATGGTGGCCATCTTGATACATGTGGGGACAGCAGACTGGGATAGGGAGTGATTCAATATGCCCGTAAACATACCAGCCAACTGGTCTGCGCATGCTCTGAAGACGATGCTAGGGATGCCGTCTGGTACAGATGGAAAGGCTTTCCCAAAAACCTTCTCCATCAAATGTTAACTATAAAGTAGCCTATGCCTACCTGGCATATAATGATTATTTGCATCAATCCAGCGGCCATTTGTTTTGCAAACTCTGCAATCACATGAGCGCTATAGAAACATCGCTAACCAAACAAAGGTCTCTTGCTGGTGCGCACTTGCATTTCTTCAATTTTTCCAAGACCTCAAAAGTGGTCTCCTGATGTGGTTTAAAGCTCCAATGCAGCCGTTTTTATCTCCATATCAAATCATTTTTGGGTAACAATTAAGTACCTTACTGTGATTGTTTTCAATTAAAATAGTCAAAAAGAAACAAAAATAGCTACTTAGCAAAGGGCAATTTCTCAAGTAAGAATTTTACTAAGACTGTCTGGGAGTGATCTGAGTGGGGAGGGGAAAACTTAAGATTATCTGTAATTGGCAGAGAGGTTTGGAACTCTTTCTTATTGGTCTATTTAACTAATTTACTGCATGGTGATGTCACCATAGAAGGCCAAAACTCCATCCCACAAAAACAAGCTGAAATTTCAGGCAGTCTTTTCAAAGAGCTCTGTAAAATAAAATATACACAAAGTTTTAGAACACCTACTCATTCAAGGGTTTTTCTTTATTTTTACTATTTTCTACATTGTAGAATAATAGTGAAGACATCAAAACTATGAAATAACACATATGGAATCATGTAGTAACCAAAAAAGTGTTAAACAAATCAAAATATATTTTATATTTGAGATTCTTCAAATAGCCACCCTTTCCCTTGATGACAGCTTTGCACACTCTTGGCATTCTCTCAACCAGCTTCACCTGGAATGCTTTTCCAACAGTCTTGAAGGAGTTCCCACATATGCTGAGCACTTGTTGGCTGCTTGTCCTTCACTCTGCGGTCCGACTCATCCCAAACCATCTCAATTTGGTTGAGGTCGGGGGATTGTGGAGGCCAGGTCATCTGATGCAGCACTCCATCACTCTCCTTCTTGGTAAAATAGCCCTTACACAGCCTGGAGGTGTGTTGGGTCATTGTCCTGTTGAAAAACAAATGATAGTCCCATCCAGGCTCTGTCGTAGCTGGCCGTGACCGGGAGTCCCATGGGGCGGCGCACAATTGGCCCAGCGTCGTCCAGGGTAGGGGAGAAATGGCCGGCAGGGATGTAGCTGTCACGCCCTGACTCAGGGGACTCGTATATGTTGAGTCAGGGTGTGTATATTCTTTGTTATCTATGTGTATATTCTAGTATGTGTATTTCTATGTTGGCCGGTGTGGTTCCCAATCAGAGGCAGCTGTCGCTCGTTGTCTCTGATTGGGGATCATACTTAGGCAGCCTATTGGCAGTGTCTAGTTGTGGGATCTTGTTCCGTGTAAGGTTTGTTGTGTTGTACCTTTGGACTTCACGTTTCGTTTCCTTTGTTGTTTTGTCGTGTGTTTATCGTTAAATAAACATGTACGCATATCACGCTGCGCCTTGGTCCGACCCGTCTCTTAACATACATGACAGTAGCTCAGTTGGTAGAGCATGGCATTTGCAAGGCCAGGGTTGTGGGTTCGATTCCCACGGGGGGCCAGTATGAAAAATAAATAAAAAGAATGTATGCACTCACTAACTGTAAGTCGCTCTGGATAAGATTCTGTTACTTGAACTCTGTGAAGCATTTATTTGGGCTGCAATTTCTGAGGCTGGTAACTCTAATGAACTTATCCTCTGCAGCAGAGGTAACTCTGGGTCTTCCATTCCTGTGGCGGTCCTCATGAGAGCCAGTTTCAAAGCGCTTGATGGTTTTTGCGACTGCACTTGAAGAAGCTTTCAAAGTTCTTGAAATTTTTCCTATTGACTGACCATGTCTTAAAGTAATGATGGACTGTCGTTTCTCTTTGCTTATTTGAGCTGTTCTTGCCATAATATGGACTTGGTATTTTACCAAATAGTGCTATCTTCTGTATATCCCGCTACCTTGTCACAACACAACTGATTGGCTCAAACGCATTAAGAAGGAAAGAAATTCCACAAATTAACTTTTAAGATGGTACACCCGTTAATTGAAATGCATTCCAGGTGACTACCTCATGAAGCTGGTTGAGAGAATGCCAAGAGTGTGCAAAGCTGTCATCAAGGGAAAGGGTGGCTATTTGAAGAATCTCAAATATAAAATATATTTTGATTTGTTTAACACTTTTTTGGTTACTACATGATTCCATATGTGTTATTTCATAGTTTTGATGTCTTCACTATTATTCTACAATGTAGAAAATTCAAAAAAAAATAAAGAAAAACCCTTGAATGAGTAGGTGTTCTAAAACTTTGACCGGTAGTGTATATAAAACACAGGTATATCACGTTTTTGACTGCACTGGGCCTTTAATCATTTTTGTGGACTTAGAACGTCATTCTTGTCACGATTTAACTGGATATGAACCCAAATGCAGACAACTACACCGAGCCAGAGAAGGTTTAACAGGTTTATTTACAAAGTTAAATTGTCCAGGTTTCCAAAAATAGGGGAAGAGCAAGTCCAGGTCTACAGGGAGGGTAACAGTTCCAGGTTCTGAGCAGGAGTGGTACCGTAACGTCCTAGTGTCCGTGGTGAGTCCAAAAGGGAGGTCCAGTAGTGGAAAGCAGGATGGTGGTGGCAGGAGTGAAGCGGAGGCAGGAGTCAGGTTCCAATAATCTGTGGCACAGGAGAAAAGTAAATAGAACAGGCCAAAAACACAAAGAGCGAAAACAAGCAGGTTGAGTCAGCAGCGAGACTAACATGGTCGTCTTGACTATGATCTGACGATGAGTGGCAAGTTTGACCGGGTCTTTAAGCCTGAGGTGATTATGGTGAATGAGCTGCAGCTGGAACCCTGACTCCCGCACACCAGACTTCACTCCTGCAATCAAGAACAGACAGAGGGGAGGGGGAGAGCAGAGAGAGAGCTACCTAGCAGCAGTAGGCCTAACAATTCTTTTAGTTTTTCTATTAAAAAAGTGTGATTTTGAGAGTGAATACCTGAAAGAATTTGGAAAAATGGAAACACAAAACTGAGAAAATGGAATTAGGAAGAAAACTCAATGGAATCAGGCAAAAAATTAAAACCGATTTTATAGGGCCCTATTCACCTAATCAAGGTCCAGACTGTTTATTAAAGGGTGACATTTTGACAATGGAAAAAAGCAGAGCTCACAGCACCCCCACATCAACTGACATGCAGCACCCTAGTTATGAGCCAACCTGTGAGTCTCACAGGGTGGCCACACTGACAAGCAGCTCTGTGAATGTTTAGGGCTATGCTTCTTGACCTCAGATACTTCCGAGGGTGATGTTCTGGGAACCGGGGCTGTCCATTGGGTCTGCTTCCTCCATCCATCCCTCCATCTTTTTACTTATCCCACTCTAGTTTCCACTTTGGTGTCTGGCTAATAGGATGGTCATTGTGTAATGAATGTACTCAAACTCTGTGGGAGAAAGAGGTGTGTGTGTGTGTGTGTCTGTGTGTGTGTGTGTGTGTGTGTGTGTGTATATGCGCGCACATTTACATACACGCATGCTTGCATCCATGAAAGTGT